GTGAGTAGCATAAAAATAAAAAATTTGCTATTTTCTATCAATTTGTAATATTCTCACAAATTTGATGTATATACATTAGAAATTAACTTTTCTGTCCGAGCTATCTAATAATTTTTTTTTTCTCACATATTCTATACACTCACATTAAGATGATCCTCTCCACAATTCTTTCTCAATCCTTTCCTACCAATTATCCTGTTACGTGAGTGTTGGAACGCTTCACGTAATAATTATCCGTAACTTCTATTCTTTCCCGCTTCACAGCATTATTTATATTTGTTAGCTTATACATAAATAAATTAATAACGTCACGATAAGTAGGTAATTTATAAGAATTAAATTCTTTAATTTGAAAGCCAACTGAATAGTTATATGTCCTATTACCAATTACTTTAGTCATAATGAACAATAGTTAGATTAGAAAGTTAATGAAGTATAATCAAATAAATACTGAAGAATATCAAGAAATAATTTAAATACGATTTATACCATTAAACACAAGTGACAGCGAAAAGTTGATATTAAAATAGTAAATTGAATATAGTTTATTAAAAAATTGGCTTATTCTGTCTTAGTATCAGCGTCAATTGATTCTCGGATTAATCACTTAATACAACAAACAATGAGAAAATTATTTTGAGGTTAGGTATGCCATAAAGGGTCAAATTTTTCAACAAAGACAATAGAGATGGTAATATCATGCTAATTAATTAGAGCAATGATAGAATATGCCATCTTGGGACTGCTTGCTGCAGTTTTTCAAAGAATGATTTCTACTTATACAAAGTTGGCGTGAATAAAGTTGACTATGGGAAAAATTAAATTTTTTACTAATTTAGGAATTTTGCTACAAAAAATTAAATAATCCTCATTTTTATTTGTAGGGAAATTTAATGGTAATAAACAGAAAAAATAAATCTACATAATATTATGAGTTAGTATTTATCAATTTCTTACGTATCTCGCTATAAAAATGGCTGTAAATTTATTAAATATTGGTTGGATGACTTTTTTTCTATGTCAGTCCTTTTTTTCTTCCTACCATTGGTGATTTGCTCGAAAAATTGAAAGAAATTATATTTTTTTCAAAAATTGTACTTTGACGACTCTTACCGGTGAACCAGTGCGAGTTACACAAAAAAACTTTAAGGCTTTTTTGAAGAGCGTGAAATTCCCCACAAGGTCCATCAAACCGATTTGCAATATTGTAAAAGCCGGCTAAGCATTAGAAATTTGAAAAAAAAAAAAATTTTTTTACATGCATTTTAAATGGTAAAACTTTAAATTTTTATTGTAAGTACTTAAAATTAATATTAAGAGCTCAAACTTAGTAGGAATTTTTTTTTCTATATGTAGATTAATATTTTTCATGAGCACCGAAAAAAAAAAAAATTTTGCGGAAATGAATCACCCTAGTATCAATATTTATAAATTCTTTTTTATCTATATTTTTTAACTTGACTAAAGTTTCTTTAAATGGTGTCCAAAGAGAAGATAAAAATTTTATAGGATGTGAAGTATTATTCCTAAAATTAAGTAAGTATATCAAATATTAACTGAATGATGATAAAATGTAAAATTTATAAAATGATGATAAAATTTATTAATAAGTTACGAGCATGCTTTGGATTTAGTTCGCCAGTATCGAAGAGTTCGAGCTGGAATTTGACTAGTACTTCCAAATGAATTGTATTCTAAGTATGGTCCTCGTCTTTTTTTTTTAGTCTTTTTATCAACTATTTTCATGGCTGAATATTTTATCGTGCGTTTTTTGACAGTTATGAACACTGATTTTAATTAATAGTCATTTGTTAATTAATATTTATTTACATAAGAAATAAATGAGAATCTTAACCTATTAAGTCAATCAATGAAATTGTCAATCGAAGAATTTATCATTGTACGAGTAATTAACTAAAAGTTTTGAAAATAATGACTGATGAATACTATGCACTTGTTAAATGGATTGGTGGCCCAGATGATGGCTTATATACTGCTGGTGTTCCAGTCGCTTGGATTAAAGATCTCAATATCGCAACCTTTGATCTTGAAAATGAAGACCTAGATACTTCGTATGTAGTAGAATGGCGTAGGGGTAGGAAACCATCTACTAATGAGTGGAATCATTTCGATGCACAAGTGATTGAAGTATCAAGTTTGTAATTTAAATTTTTACTATTGTAATTTATATTATATTCTTTTTAAACTAACTATCGTTATTATTTATTTTTTTTCAGAGAATGTAGCATCGTTAAGGAACAAATTGAAAGCTCTTGACGCCTAAACCTCACCATATAAGCCACTGGAATTTGATCATCTTCAAAAAAAGAAGAGAACAAAGTCTAAATCACCAGTAGAGCCTGAATGCAAAAAAAGCGGAAGAATGACGATGTATTTATTCATATACTGTTTTCCTTACTCATAAACTCAACAGTGAATTGAACTTAATAAATAATTACTTATTTTAATTTTCTTTTTCAGTCGGGAAAAAAGAAGAAAGGAAAGGATGCTAAAATTCAAAATGTTAACCCAGCATCAGCTACTGTAAGTCTTAAAATAGATGCATAATGATAAAAACAAAACTTAAAGATTTTTATTGAAGTAATCAAACTTCATTCAAAGTCCACTAACCGCAACGTTTTCTCTTCGAAGTAGATTAAACTCAGATTCCTTCTCATAAAATGAAGACTTCTTTTATGACAATGCTTTTAATATTAGCCTTTTAATCGCTGATAACTCAATCTAAAAAAATTTTTTTATGATGTGAAATATTATAAGAAGTTTCCTAATTTTTTAGCGAATCAGTTAGGTTATTGGCAAATTTATATTTTGTGATTCCTCTAGTTTTAGAAATCAATAACTAATGTCACAATTTTTTTATTTAAAAGACAAGCTCGAATAGAGAACCAAATGATTTACAAAGAAAACAATTCGTAGGGAGAAGATTGCACAATGAAGACAAAAATGATAATAGTGGAATAGATATTTTACAGAGTGAGAGTGATGACGATGACGGTAATAAACGAAATATGAATCCAATTTATATTATATCTTTACTTTAACTCAATCATTAAAAGAAATTTTTAACTTACAGATCAATTAAAGGCACCTGCTTTAATAAAAAAAAATGTACAAGCAGCTTAAAGAAATCAAAGCTTCTCAAGCCAACTTCATGAGAGATTATGCACGTGCTCGAAACAATGATGATGAAAACCAAAATGATCAGGTTCCATATATACTATGATATTTTTATGAATATATTCAGTAAAAATTATATTTCTCAGGCAATAGATTTAAAGAGATGATAAATCTTAACTTTTCAAAAGAAAAAAGTTAATTGTTTTCGAATTATAGTTCTCATTAACTAGTTCAACTCATATACGTACATTTAAAAATATTTTTTTTTGATAAAACTATTATCATTAATAATTGATCAATCTTAAAACTGTATAGCTTCTCATATTCAACTCCTAATAAGAAATTAATTTACAGAAAAAAGTAGTTTTATATTTGATTATACCAATATCTCTTGAGGATTTTATCGTATTTCTTAAATTATACTGAACATTAAAATTTGTTTGTTCTTTTTTATTATTTTATTAAAAATATAATTTTTTTTAATACAACATATTTTTTCCTTGCAAATTTTATTATTTGTTTAAACAATTATAAATATTTCTTTTGAGATAACCAAAAACTCGCGAGGATTTTACTTAATTTTTTAAATAATACTGGACAGTGAACTTTTTTAACTCCTTCGTAGGGTTATTCTGAATAAAAGGTTTGTGTTTCTATTCGAACAGACAGAAATTGATTTTTAACTGTGAATTCAAAATAATTGTTTTAATTTTTCAAAAATTTTAAACTCCGTTAAAAAATAATTGTGGAAAAAATGAGCTTTATTTTTTCATATGTATCAAGATTCTATTTGTTTTTTTTTTGTTTTTAATTTAGCATGAGCTTGGACATGTTGGAAGTGGAGTATTTATTTCCAAAAATTCTTGGACTACAGCAGAGCAGAAACGTTCTTATCAGTCGATGGGGAAGGCGCTCATCAAAGCTGCGTTTCCTACTGAAGTTATGCTTTTAAGCAATCTTCGAGGAAATGCGAGTAAGATTGACAAAAATGCACCAAAAAAGCCTGCTCTGGATCTAAATATAATGAATGCTATTAAAGGTTATTTAACCTACGTATTGCTAACTGATATACTATTTAGGGCCAGTTTTTCAACCGGGGGGTTAGATATTTTATCATTGTGAATATATCTATATATCTATATTATATATAGATATATTTACATTGATAAAATACTTAAGCCCGGGGTTGAAAAACTAGCCCTTAGAGTTGTAATAAAATCCAGACTTGCAGTATTAAATTTTGTTTTAATACATTTCTTATTCTCTGATGAGTAGATAGATCCCAAGAAAAATTTACTTTCACTACTTAGAATTAATGAATTTTAACTCTTACATTTTTTTTTACTATTGTATTACTTAATGTAAGCGCAAAGCATATTATTGTATTGTATTTTTATTAATTTTATCGGCATGCATTAACTCATTGTAGTAAAAATTACAAATTAAAGATTTATTTTCCGTAGTGTGAAATAAATTACAATGTGAAAAAAAATGTTTTAGGGAATATATTAAAAACAGCTTAATACTATGTAAGTTTGGTACTATGTAAAGAAATTTATAACTCTATAAGTAATTTGCTATTTCTTTTGCACAGACTTTGATATCAAAATTCCCGGATTTTAGCAAATCGTACTTTGGAATCACAATTAGCAATATGTTAACTGACTTGAGAAGGCAAAATAATAAAAAAATTGCCGAGGAGAATAATAGAAGGCAGCCAGAATAATAAAACAAAGTACTCTACGCATCCTCGATTATATAAAAATTAAATGATACTAAATTCATCCGAAAGTAGTACTTATTGTCAACCTATGTGTAATTTTTAAGTGTCTTAACAAAGGTTATAACGATATTTTTTTAATTAAGTACAAAATTATCTGTCTTATAATTCATATTTAAGCTATTGTTATGAAATAAATTGTGAAGTTGAAATTGTATAAAACATCTCATTAAATTAAAATATTTAATTATAGATATCGATATACACATAATTTTTATAGCATAGTTAGTAGAATATAAGTGTTCCAAGTCAATCCAGAAATTTTTTCCCGAAGAAGGAAGTACTGCTTAACCATGTGTTGAATCAAGCCTTACGAATCGCCTGTCAAAGTAATTAATCAGCATCTGATACATTTTTTTTCGTCAAATGTGACTGAGTACTATCTGACGCTGTAACCAGTATTATTTTTTTTTGTCCGTACATGATTAAAGTTATTATTTTATGGCAGAAAGACTTCTTACAAATAGTTCATACAAATAAAATTATTTCGACAATATTACCAGTATGAATGAATCAGAGTTTAATGATATAAATTTTTTAAATAATTTTTTTATTGAATTTCACGTAACAAAAAATATTATCCTAACGTTTGAGCTTGTAAGAGTTACACCGATAAAAAACTTGAAAGAAAAAATCTTGAACACAGAAAACGATTATGAAAATACTTATTGTCTCAAAGTATTTCTTTGGATTTCAGTTTTTTTTCGTTGAGACGAGCTTAACTTTTCATTGGAGTATATAATTTAGAAGTTTGAATTTTTTAGTAGGATTGTCAGCTCCAAATTTTAAGTTTATCAGTCTTGTATGGTTAAAAAGTAATAAGTAATAGAGTTTTTCTTGCAAAGATAATGAATTTATTGCAAAAATTTTTTTAATTCGGCTGTCACAGCATGTTGTAATAAAATTTTCATAACAAATGTGTGCAAAGTGCATATTAACAGTTAAGGGAACCCGGTGGTCTAGCAGCCTAAAATTTAAGCTTTTTTTGAAAAATTTTATTTCTATTTGAAGGTAATGACTAATGCTGTCAAATTTTTTTACACTTATTCTATTACTTATCAACTGTACAAAAATAAAAATCAAAACGAAAAAAAAATTTTTTTTTAATTAGAAAAATGGCGCTGAAGTCCCCCTCTCTGTTTTGTCGAAAACTATCCAATGCGGATATTTCTCGTAATTGTTTTAAAAATATGATGAAATTGGGATTAGGAAGTTAAATAAAAATACTTGGATTTTTTGGGTTCCAACAATTCAGATGGTTTATTTGTCCCCAAAGGAGGAAAACCCAGCTAGGCTGGGAAAAACTTCCTTGATTTATACAAGTAAATTGTATGTGTGTAAGTGTGTATGTGTAAATTACGTTGCAATAACGCAATAGGGGTGAGCTCAGCCGCCGTATAAAGAAAATTATCGATAATTTAAATTTGTATTGTCCCAAGGTGGGAGCTAGTAATATCTAATTAATTAGATAAACTGTCTCAAGGCGAGAGCTAATAAAATGTTCAATTAATTTGATGAATTGTCTCAAGGTGAGCGCTACTAATGTTCAATTAGTTAGATAAATTGTCTCAAGGTGAAAGCTACTAATGTTCAATTAGTTAGATAAATTGTCTCAGTATGAGAGCTTATAAGATTCAATCAATAACAGATTAATAGTTGATTGAATTTGTATTTTTGTATAAAAATTAGTCAAATGAATTTAAATTTAGATTTGAACTATTGATAATTATGATTAAGTAAATTGTAATTAAATATTGGTAATGAAGTTGATCTAATTTAATATTAATATCGCGTGTTAATTATAGATTGACTAAAGCCGCGTGGCTGATGCAATCCTTTGTTAATGTGGCGCGCAATGGCCGCGTGGCGTCACTAATTAAATCTACTTTGATTTTAGTTATTCTAATTCACTGAACTATTAAACTGATTTGAATGATTTGAGAATGTAATTGTTATTAAGTTGAAGTAATTATTTATATTTAATGGATAATTTAAGTATCTGAATAAATGTAAGAAGCAATTAAGAAATATTAGAATCGATTGACACAGAGTAGTCGTACTAGTACAAGAGTCCAAGCACAACTGTTGCAGCAGACCACGCGAGCCGGCTTATCTACCGCTAACCAAGGCGCGCATGAGCGACGGCCATAGCGTGATACGATTATTCCCGAGTTTTAACGATTAAGCCCGAAGGCGTAATTCTTCTTATAAGTATTTGACTAGATCTTTTTTCTAGCGGTTAAACACTCTCAAAAAAATGGATCTGACTGGAGGAGGTAAATTGATCTCTTTCTCTGCTCTGAAATTGAAAATATGACTGATTTTTAATTGGTATAAGTATAGTTATCGTCGGTACTAGAATGGAAAAAAAAAAATTAGGAATACGGTTGACCCTGAAGGCCATCCCTGCAACTTCCCGCCAATTCTATACCTAAACGCTTGAAATTGCACTTATGACGTTTTAGAGCTCTTCGAGCTCATAAATGCAATTTGTGTATTATTTTGAGCTCTCCGAGCTCAAAAAAATAGCTTTTGTATGCTTTTGAGCTCTTCGAGCTCAAAAATTTGATAGACGTTTGATAAAACACTATTTTTAACTTCACGCTAAAAATCTCAGATTTTCAAAAATCAGGAAGTTATTGTTTTCACCCCGTTTTACAAAAATCGAGTTTTCATCAGATCTCGACGTTTGAAGGTCACAGGAAGCTTCCCTGACTATTTTTACGATGATGTCCGTACGTCTGTATGTGTATGTGTGTGTGTGTGTTTTTTTCCCCTTTAGGGGGGGGGGGGGAATTCTTTTTACAGATTCTAGGCATAGATGTTGGCCTGGATATGTGGCGACTCGACGCAGCGTCATACTAAAACTTGACGCTGACGCCCCTACCCACTAAACCCTAAACCCCTTTCTCTTCTATCCTCTGATCCCCCATGGTTCCGCCGTAAGGCATTTCTTCACGGGGGGAGGAATTAGCTGCCGCTCTTCCTTCTGGGGGCTAAGATGTTATCTTCCTTCTAGATTCTGTCTTTTGCTCTTTTCCTCTCAACAGATCGCAACTCAATAAGCACTTATGTAGCAAAAATGCTTGTGGCGTTCCAGGCAGCTTCTAATGACAGCATTGCTGCTATGTGTGTGTGTGTGTGTGTGTGTGTGTGTGTGTGTGTGTGTGTGTGTGTGTGTG